ATTTTCATTAAATTGCAGCACTTCCAACAATTGTATCAGTCATCAGATGCTGAAGGCTTTTCCCCCGTGGATATGAAAAGCATTTATGTTCAAAGCCTCTGCAGAGTGTACTCTCTCATCTCAGCATGGTCGCTTCTGTGGCAGGACAATCTTTTTGTTTAGCACAGTAAAAAGCTGTTTAAAACTAATGTGTATAACAGACCAGATGAGCTCTTTGGTGCCCAGATACCGGTAATGTAGAAAGAATCGGCCTTATTGCACTGCTGTGAGTTGGCAAATCTAAAATGACAGCCAGTCATAGAACATGCATGATCTGATTGTGACCCCTTTTAAAATAAATACATACTTTGAAGGGCAACCGAAAGCTCTAGGATTTGAATCAGTGATTGAATAAATATGTTTTGCAACGGAAGTTCATCAATTGGTGTTTAAATGTTGGAGCCTGGAGCAGCAGGAAGATAATAATTGTCTCCTGTGTAGGTGAGACAGAAGAATGCTAGACAAACATACACACTTTGATAAACTGCAGCAGGAACAATTTGACAATTTGGATGATGGGATGGGAAGTAAGGAAACAAATGAACGAATAGAAGCCAAGTGGCAGAGTTAGAGGGAATAATACATCATAGTGGAGGCCCTTATTGCTCTAAATTAACTGATGCGATCCCCTGAAAACATCTATTTTTCAGTTCACACTTTTACCATGACATCCCTCAGACACTTCCCCTCTTCTCCAATTTTCTTTTCCATTCATCAAGAGACTTTTTTTCTTTAAGTACACCAGCACCATCATTTACAAATGTGTGCAGCCCTATGGGACAGAAATCTAAGCAACCTAAGGTTTAATCATTTTAACCGCTTGTGATTTAAAGATTGATGAAAATAAGTATTTTATTCCCTTTGCAATTAAGGAGGTGTCACATGAGGCTTCAGTATTATTTAGTCATGTTGTACGAGAACCCACAGACATGCACAGGTAGCTGTGAAGGCCTGTCCTCACAGCAGATGTTGCACCCTCTCTGTTTCACACATATGAGGCTGACACTGACAGCTAAATCAAAGCTGAGGGCATCTCAGTGAGTCTCCAGTTTAAGTACTTCTTGCCCGTGGGAATCGCAATTATCACATTAGAACGAGTCTTACAAATGTATTTAAGCAGTTTGCAGAATTATTTAATCTGTTAACCGTTAGAGATACAAAGATCAAATATGAAATCAACTTCAGTTTTTTTCCAGTTATGTGTGTATTCTGAAAAAGTCAGAAGCATGCTTGTTATTGGTTTACAGTTTCCTGGAAAAGTCATGTGATGTGTGCTTTGCTCTTCAGTCAGATTGATACTGAATAGCACTAGTGTTCGTCTTTTATTCTCCTCAAAACGAAGTTATATATCTGTGTGTTAGTCTTTACACATTATTGCCTCTCACTATACATTACGGTGGTCCTTAAAATTGAAAGTCGGAAAGTCTAAGCTCCAACCCCCAGAATTCATTCTATTAGTCAAGAAAACTCTCCTGGTGAATTTTTTCCTCAATCTGACATTTACCCCTCCCTCATCAACCTTGAAGTTTAGCCTCAGTTGCAGTACCGTGGCTGCTGGTGTGGCAGCCCAGGATGATGAGGGAGGCTAAACTTCGAGGTTGATGTTGTTGGAATTTGAATAAAATTGACCAGGAGAGTTTTCTTGACTGTCATAAAATATTACGGTGGTTGGAGCTTAAAATAAATGAATTCGAAAATGTACATGGCACTAAGGACCACCCTACTGTACATGTTGTGTATGTCAGTTTACAGCTGTAATCGTTCCATGTGTATACAGTATACTCTACATACAATAGACCTGATAGTGATAGTGTGTAACCTCCACTCATTATAAAATAATAACATGGTCTTTTTGCATGCTGGGGAAGTAGTATGAAGGGTCAAATAATATGTGTGTATTTGACCTTGACTGAAATATGGTTGTTTAGCCTCAAAGCATGTGGATATACAGTATGCCATTTTTAGAGCCCCATTCACACATGCACTGCTACCTTGAAATGATGTACATATAACCCTAAGGAGGTGTATTTGAGAATGCAAATATCTACATTTTCCGTGGTGTAATCTGCGTCATGTTGCATCTCCTGCACTCACTAACATTAGGGACTTTTTGTAAGTGAGAACACTTACTGATGTGTGAAAGGGAAGCTCAGGAGAATGTGCATTTCTTATTCTCCTGATATTGTCCAAAGAAAAAAGGTATGGTAATGACATTTTACAAAGGTTCAAAGGTAACCAACATGCTTACATGTTGGTTACCTTTTTCATTCAGCCATAGTGTGTTCAATCCCAGACATCATCTGTAAGTGTTGTGTCTCACCCAGACTCGTGGTGCAACCCCATCATGATTTCATTACCAGTCTGGGTGACCCATCTGTCAGTCTTCCTTTGTGGCCTATAAAGCCTCAGTCACCAGTTGCCATGAAGGATTTCTCAACAGTCACTCTGCCTGAAAGACAGCTTGACACAGAGTGAGCCATCCCATCTGAGAGCGCAGAAAAATCTATATTTTCACATTCTTTCGTTTGGACTCGGTCAGCTTCAATATGAAACTAATTCTGTTTTGTTTTATTTTTTTTTATTAGCTAAGTAATACTATAAAAAACAAAAAGTAAAACTATTTTGAGTGTCCGTGTCATGAATAAATCATCATAGTTTATTTTAAAGGTCCCCTATTATACTGTTTTTCATCAACATATTATAGGTCTCAGATATATACAACATGTCTCTAAAGTGTTTGGCTCCAAATACCAAACAGATCACCCATTGTTAGCATCGCATGATCCCCTCTGTTTCAGCCCTGTTTCAAAAGTGCTGATTCTCTGTCTTTTACTTTAGATCAGTGGTACTCAACCTTGTCCTAATCAGGAGCCACATTGACGAAAAAATATTTTTGCAAGAGCCACAATCCAAAAACGCTCCTTTCCTCCCTGAAACCTTTATGCATTTGAGAATATGGATAATAGTAATATGTTACTTAAGAATGAAAAGCATAATGTACAGTGCAATAACTGTGATTTCTTATTTTCACTGCAACCACAAAACACACAAAACAACAGATAACAGACAGCATGTTTACTGATAATCACAGTCCATATAACAGCAGATTATACACAGCAGGGGTTGTCAGAAGAGTAATGTTGACCTTACTTCACACTCAATGTGATTTCTGACACTCCTTCTGCCGCACAAGTGATTTGAAGTCGGGCTCTGCGCTGGAAACGTCGATCCGGAGGGCCTCTGTTGTGTGCTGCAGACTCAATCTGTTTCGGTTGCGACATTTTATTTTTGTGAGCGCAGACGACCGACAAGTATCGCAACAAAGACTCTTTTTTCTGGGACTTGCTCTCCGGATTTTTATTTACGTTGAAGCCTAAGATGACATCGATCCTCTCCGTAGTCTGTAAAGTCTACTTGTAACGTGTATGAGCATTCTGTAATTGACAGTAAGACAAAAAAAACGCGACTCAAACAGTCGGACGTTACTTCGCTTTCGCCTACAGTACTGGTGCGAGTGTCTACCTTATTACGAAATAGGGCCCCGCATAAGTTGCATTCCAGAACTGTATGTCTCTTTGACGGAACTGTCCCAAGTGGACTTTTATCCTTGTTGCCCGGGAACTTTTTTTTTGCTGACACGACCAATTTGTAATGTCTTTCGAAAATTGTAACGGAAGGTCTTTTTAGTTGTCGTAAATGACACACTGTCTACACGCGTGCGCCGCTACGAACCCATTCTCTTGCCTCGGCAACACGGAACGACTATTCTACTCGAATTTTGACCGCTCCGAACGACGGAACTCCACCATAAAAGAGTATGGTAACATAAACACGTAGTGTTCGGACACAACGTTCAAGTTTACAGACTTACTTACTACCGTTTACATGTGCTATCACCCATACATAAAAGCTAAAACGGGCAACGTTCTTTGGTGCCCCATTTAAATTTGACGACCAACCTCCTAACTGTGAGTGAATACCTCTAAACACACAATGTAGTGGCTCTAGTCTACCGACCAGATTTCCTGCATTAACGAAACGTGTAAATTACCTGAACTTAAACTGGGAGACATTATAGGAAGTACAGCCGGTTCCTCTGAAGGGCTACCAACAGAAACCCTACTATTTCTCCCCACGACAGACCAGCCAAGGACACCTGTAATAGCGTCCGGACTTGCTTGATGGAAGTTCTACGTACCCTTCTTTGTTCTGGCACCATACCTCGAACGATGTCCGACAGGTCTCTACAAGACTGTTGCCCTACATGGCTGGTTTCCCACGGCACCAGCTATACGGACAAAGAAGGGGTGGCAGCTCCTTTCACTACCGCTCCGTACGTCTGCAGAGCGGAGCTGGGACAGTTAGAGTTAAGACCCTCACACGTTGACTCGAGTTCGTTTTGATTTGTGTAGTAGCAATACCCAGACAACAAAAAGCGTCTCAGCGTGCTGAAGTTCCTTGGTATCGTTCATAAACAGATGGAACACTGTTTATGGGTAAAGGATAAACTTCAGTTACTTACTTTACGTTTATTTCGCTGGTCGAGCCCCCTTTAACGTCGAAGTTTACCTCAAGCCCCAGCTCAATTTCTCGAGTCTACTTGAAGTCGCAGTTAAAAGCTAATGTCTTACAGCACTGGAAAACCTTAGACCCCCCGTAGGATTGAGTTTATCGAAGGTCTTACCGTTCTGCCGTAAGTAGAGTTACAAGGCGGTGTATGCCTACACCACCAT